GGCGAATACGCCGCAGCGCATGTTCAACGAGCCACAGCGCACATCTTAAATTTTTTTAAAATTTTTTTATTTCAAATTTTTAAACAAATGCACTTACACAAGTAATGGTCCCATGCTTTCACATATTTGTGAATTTTGATTTGTCTTGTTGCAAGACTTTAAAAATAATTTTAATTTCATAAACTTGGGCCCTCATTTTACTAACCATTGAAAACTTTGTATTTTGATAATTACTATAATTCCATTCCCTAATTACTTGAAATTTGGTTTTACTAATAGGATTAAAAGGAAGAGGATATTACACCGGAAGAATTGTTACATCCCATATAAGAAGAATTTTGAGAAACTTCTAATTATATAAACGGGTGTGTTGTACATTTCACTAAGTTAGTTTTTTAAAGAAAGAGTAATGATCATATGACAACCTACTCACCTCATCGAATTCTTTTGAGAAAAGGTCATTCATGTCTAATGTCTTCAAAGATTAATCTCCAAACACTCTTGGATAACTCATAAAATTTTCCTTGAAATAATTTTTCTCAAAAGCATAATATATATATATATATATATATAAACACTTCCATAAATTCATTGTTATGGTGACTTTTCATAGCCATTTATTGACATTTTCTTAACACTTCGCGGTCTTTTGTGGCATAATAATCATAATTGGTACTGGCGTTCCTCAAGTTCAAGTTCAATGACTAATTGACATTTCGTCTGCATGGCTAAAGGCCATATTATAACAACTTACTAAAAAGAGCTTCTATTGTTTTTGTAAGCATAAACTCTATTAAGTGCAACCTCCCAGATTAATACCTTTTAAACCATTAGCATTTAGGGACATGCTATTTTAAAATAATCGAATTAATATTCAAAATACCCAACAAAATTCCACAAAGTTTATATCAATCATTAGGTTATAAAATTATCATTTTGCATAATAATCATGATCAAAACTGGAAAAACTTCTAGTCATATAATAACAAAATCAACTATGACTTATGGCCATATAATCATAAAATCAAGTATGTCTTCTAGCCATGTAATCTCATAAAATCAAATATGGTTTATTGCCAAATGATTCTAAAATCAAACACAGCTTCTGCCCATATAATCATAAAATTACTTTTTGTAAATGTAATAACAAAATTAAATATGGTTTTCACCATCTAACAACAAAATTAAATATAACTTCTAATGACATGCTAACGAATTAAATATTTCTTTTCACCATATGATAACAAAGTCAGATATGGCTTCTAGCCATACTATAATTAAAATAAATATGACTTTGAGCCATATAATTTGCTATGGTTGTAAATTGATGATTTAGAAAATAATGAAAATTTAAAGTGACGTTGTTTCAAGCCATATGATCATATAATTAAAATAATATAGTTACTAATCATTTTATTATAAAAATATTGAAGAGAAGTAAAAAAAAAAAAAGCAAGAAGAAGAAGAAGAAGAAACTAAAACAATATATACATATGTGTATAAATATAACACACATATACATAAATGAAGTAACGAACACACACACACAGAGATATATAAATGAGGGTATTACACATTAAAGAGGAGCAACGGATTGTGTGATTATTATTATTATTGTTATTATTATTATTATTGTATATAAATGAAACAACGACAATAATATATATATATATATATATATGCCAACTGAGCTCATGGCTAGTTCTGAAGGGTATTATAGTTTCATCTAATCTAACAATCATGAGTTCAGCTTGGCATTGAAGCCAGACATCGAACCAAAAGAATATATACTCACTCACATATTTTGTAATTAGTAATCAATCTGGATTATAAAATAATAAATTATTTCAAATATAGGTAATTTCATAACCTACTTTATATTTGATATGGATAGCCTCATGATCCATAAAAATTTAGATAAATAAATTATTTTAATTATAGATAATTTCAAGATATATTTTGTATTATATGTGAATAATTTCAAAATGCACTTTATATTCTACATATAAATAACATCATAATCCACTTTATATATTATATAAATAGCTTTAGGATCCATCTTATATTTTTATGTGAATAATTTTAAGATCCATCATATGTTATATGTGAATAATTTCAATATCCATTATATATATATGTTATATGGATCACTTCAAAATTTATTTTATATTACTTATAGATAACTTCATAATACACTTTTTTAAAAATTATATATATATATATATATATCTAAACAAATTATATATATATAAACAATGAATTAAAAATAAAAATTGAATGTAGGAAAAATAAATAAGAATTAAATAGCAATATGAATCCTAAACTATAAACCCACAGATAATATGAACCTAAACTTATATGTTGGATGTATTTTGAATTAAACTTGGGGCAATCTCGAGTGTAACATTAATTTGGACTTAACGCCCTTTGGTCGCCATGAACTCTCTCTCCCTCTCTTTCTGCGTGCTTTCTCTTCTTCGACTCTCTCTATTAGATCTCTCCCTCTCTCCCTCACCAATTTATCAGACTCGTGCACGACAACACCTTCAATTTGAAAGTAACGCGCCCCTGCAGAGTCGCTACCTTTGGATTCAGCCATTCAACTAAACCAGTCTTGGCAGAGTCAAAATCTCAAAAGTTATATCACAATGAATGTGAAAAATGTATGAGGCACCAGCAACAATACAGAAGCCACACACGCACACAACAATGTAGAAGCCATACACACGCACACATCATATCTGACACTCCCAAAAGGATTCAGTGTGCCAATAGTTTAATGCCATTTAATCCAATAAATAAATAAATAATCAAAGGTATATATCTTTAAGATCTACATTATATCACATATATAAATAATTTCAGGACCCACTTTAAATTTTATAGATATTTTCAGGGTTTACTTTATATTATATGTAAATTCATTAGGATTCATCTTTTATTATATATGGATATTTTTAAGATCTACCTTATGCAAATAACTTTAGGATTTAATTTATGTTATGTGCAGATAAATTCAAAATCTACTATATGTTATGCGTGAATAATTTCAAAATCCACTATTCTAAATTAAATTGTGCCCTAAGATATGGCACACATTATGTAATTATATATAATTAATTAAGGGAGGAAGAAAATAATTGAACAAAAAAAATCAATAAATAAATAACATATAAAATAAGAAAAGTGTGTGGATAATAGAAATTTGCTCAATCTTTAAGTAAGGGTGCCTCTATCACTGTTAGAGACATTCATTGGCATGGGCATTAATTCCTATCCAATAATTATAAAAGTTTCCCACCTAATAATGCTAAGAACAGAGCACTCATTATGAAAATAGAGATTGAGAAGATGGAAGAAAAGAGAATATATGAGAGAAATGAGAGAATTGGGAGATTTCTCATCTTAGTGAGATACTATTGACATATCTCCTATTTATAACTACAATTATATCACTTAAATTAAATAAAATATATAGATGTTCCTCAAGAATAATAAGGGGTCTTGCAAGGTGTGCCAGAAATGTAGGGTTTTAAAAGGATGAAAGAACCCGACTTATAATCAAACGTGAAAAATTTGAGCTCCCTTACCACATTTCACCAAATATGAAAATACGAAATGAAGAAAATTAATGTAGATGTAGGAAAGTAGAAATACATTAATTAAAGAAAGAGGTAGCGGGCTATGTTGGCATTACAATAAGAACATAAAGTCTAAAACTATATGAAAAAAAGAAAAATAAAATAAAGTAGCAGACTTAAAGTTTGAAAATTTGACTGATAATTTGTTGATGTTGATGATGATTCTTGTTAATAAAGGATTTATTTATTTATAAATGATCTTGACTTGATGCCTAAACTCCATGATTGCTACTTTTTTTAAATTGAGGAAGCACTTGCTCCATCATGACTACTCATGATGGGTGGACGGTGGAGATAATGGCCTAGACCTGATCTTGATTTAGTAACTAAGATTTTATAAATATTTTTTAATTATTTTAAAGTCGATTAAATTGAGTTGCATCTGTACCTTCAAATTTATAATTTAGATATAAACAATAGGATAATAATAATTGAAATATATTATGTTAACTGGTAGAGAATCTAAAGATATGGATACCCATAAAATCCTCTAATATTGATAACAATTTCATATTAATTTGAAATTTAATAATGAAAGTATTGAAAATTATGTATAAACGTTGTTTCTCTATCTGTATTCACAACTAATGTGCGCGCGCGCGTGCAACCCCGCCATTTATGAGTCATAGATAATGTAATTTGTTTCAAACGTTTTGTGATAAATAAAAAATATGTTTTTTTTATTGATATTAAGTATTTCACGAGCACATCCAAAAAATAATAAAAAATATATATTTTCACTTGCACAAAGGAGATTCTTTTATTGCACAGAATTCAGTTGTTTGGCATGAAAACTCCTGTAACTATTGTCGTTTGACTATTTGACACGCAATAATTTCATCTATTACTGTTATCTGACCATTTTAATTAACGCATCCTAAATGATTATCTAGTATGACATTGTGAGAGGTTAATCATTTCTTCATTATTTTTTCCCTGCTTCACTCATTCTACTCTAGGCAAACGTAGGTTAAGTAGAGCATTTCACCGGCAAATGCTAAGTTCAATTGGAAAAAGAGTTATATCAACTAATCAACAAGTTGGAGTATTGCAAGGGGAAAAAAGCTAGTCATCTCATATATCCACTAAAGCTGCTTTTTCTAACGTAGTATAACCTTTTTGCAACTGGTGCCCGATAGCAAGCCCATTTTGTAACATCACGCAAGGCAAAATCACGCGACATTGAGAAACATTTGTTGATACTATCAAAAGTTAGTATAACTGATAAATATCAAGCCCATGACTTGCAGGATTGTGAGTTCAAATTGTACTGTTAATGTAAGGATTTCTGTAAATGCTTTTTGAACTTTGAGATATACTCTGGCTCTAGCAATTTAACCAAACCCAGTTAACCTGAACTTTTGATCACTAAAAAAACATTCATTGAGGTAAATTAAAAATGCGGGAGGAGATCCCCGTTCAATCAACAAAATTCCGCGTGAACATTTGGAACTTCAACACTGTCTCTTTTAGCCGCCTTGACTTTTCGGTCATCGAGATAATGTTGATAAATGTAAGAAGTGAACCCCCACAAAGCTAACAGCAAGGATACCACCTTCACCCCATTGATCTTGTCGTGGAAGAAAACAACGGACAGAATGGGAACAACAGGCAACGACACGGTACCTATTACATTTGAAAATAAAGACGACACCTCAAAGATCAGCCCCAGCATTCCCATGGTGGAAATCTGCCACGTCACAGCTGTCCAGACAAGAGTCATTATGTAAGACACCCTCCCTGTTTGGTATTCCTTCATCTCCTGGCTCAGAGTTTTCCATTCTCCACTTGCAACCAATCCCACTACGCAACCACATGTACTGACCAAGTTTGGGTAGAACTGCATATTCAACACAGAAGAGAAGGTCTCTGCTTTTATAACTTTCTCAAAGGAAAGCTGTACAAGGGAGAGATACAAAGAAAATGCAGCAGATGCACAAAGTGTACTTAAGAACCCAATTATATACTTTGCTTTCGATAAGCCCTTTGAGTCGAGGGAATCAGCATTGACCGCAAGAAGGGAAGCTGATATGGTTAGGAGAACCAAGGAGTTCAGTATGGGAGGTGTGAACTTTTGGGAATTGAGTAGGAATGAGAATAGTGCATTGAAGGCCAATTGGGTAGCACATAGAAGAGAATAGGTGGAAACAGGGAGATAAAGAAGCCCATAGGAATACATGAGGTTGTCACCTGTCAAAAGTAGGCCAAAAGCCAGGTAGAGGAGGGCAAAAATGAAAATACTTGGTTCTGTTTTGGAGGAGGCAATGTTAAGCATGTTATTCCTGGGTTTGCTTCGTTGTGAGAAATAAAAAAGGAGGGGAATCAGAATCGGGAATCCAGCTGATTGAACGAATGTTGCCATCCATTTGCTATTACCACCTTTGTCGTAGTAAAAATTTCCCAAAAGAGTTGCTGCAGATTGGCCTACCAGAAGACAGACTATGTAGAGGGACACTAAGGACCACCGTCTGTATTCTCTGAATATTGAACGACGAGGTTGTCGAGTGACATCCATGTCCCTGTGAGAACTCTGCTCTTTCCCGTCACCTGATAAAAACACATCCCAGACTTACAGATTTCTGTCCAATACAATCCAAAACAAGTTAAACTTGGAAGTCCTATTATGACTGGTATGTATTTCATAAAGCAGGAGTGAAATGCAATAGGTGCCGTATTAAATTACTAATACGTTTACCTATGTGATATTGAAATTAATTAATAAGATAAAAAACAATCTTGCTTCCTTAAATTGCCAAGCTCCGACGTGTTCCGAGTATGAATTTAAAAGTCACAAAACAAGACATAGTCATATTTATCTAATCCATGACAAACAGTAATAAACAATCTCGGAATCTTCCTCACTCAACGAGGACATAGAAAATGAAATGCTTTAAACAAAGGCTTATGTACCTTCTTTTCCCCTGGCCGTGAAAATAACAAAAGGGTGCCTTTTTGTTCTATATCTGTGGCCATCAGTTGATTAATAACCAAGAGAATTCGAATGAGCAACTAACCTGTAATTTGCATCTGCTGCTCGCGAACTATCTCCATGAAAGGGAAATAGCAAGAAATTTTTTATGAATAACAGTGAAATATGAAGCAGCCCTGAGAAAAGCAGCATTCGGGTAAGTTGCCCTTTTAAGAGTGTCCCTTGGCCTTGGTCAATTTCTCGTTCGCTGGCACAGAGATGGTTGGCTGCCAGGCTACATGACAACAGAAACCGCCAACTTTAATTTGAACTCATCCGTAATTAGTCAATGAATATTGCGTAAATGAATAAGACTCCTTTGGTTCTTATTGTATAGTACATGATTATAACGATTGCATATAATAAATATTTCCCTTTATGAAAGGAGGCAAGATAGATTTTTCCCCACTTCAATGGGAACAAGTCATAATCATAATCAGAACTGAATTTTAAAGTCAAAGCAATGTGTTGAAATTTAGAATCATGGACGACCTTCAAGTCTTTAACAATAAACAACGGCTAACCTAATCTCCGGGCAGAAGATATGATGGACTCTTTTGCCTATCTGTTATGTTCTCTCTGTTCTAACACTTGCTAGTACCAGCGACTTTCCAGGACTCTACACTCCGTGTCAACGCATGTCAAAACAGAGGAAGTGAATTCTTGCTCATATTAAAAACTTACACATATAGCCAAAGATGACAAAAACAGAGCACGGCAGGACGGTCTAGAACGTGAATAGACTGTCTTGTTCATAATAGTAAAATAAAAGCGAACATGGCCGCAGCGACGACGGCGGCCGAGGGCAGTGCCTCCCAAGGAATAGGAAAGCAGAGTCACCACCGTAATCGCCGGGAGGCGAGAGTCGTACAAGCTATCTGAATTCAATTGAGGAGGCCGATCAAGCCCTCCATAGTGGCCACTGAGGCTATGCCCTTACCCTAGCGGTTGATTCAGGTTCAGAAAACATATCCGCGGAGCGAACAAGAACGGGTAAGAGAGGAAGGGAAGCTATTTTATAAAACCAAGTATTTCAGGAGCATGGCCAATAAACGAACTTAACCAATAAAATTAAGGATATGATAACGAGGCAATGGATGGTCAAGATTGAATAAATCCATCGTGAGGCTAACAAGGAAGCTGGCTGTGAGGTTTGGTTATGTTGGAGGCGATGTTAAGCACTTCACTTATGGATTTGCTTCGTTGTGAGAAGGAAAAGAACAAAAGGAATTAGAACAGGGACTCGGGCTGATTGAACATCTTTTCCATCCATTTGCTGTTACCACCTTTGGCATAGTAAAAATTTCCCATAAGAATGGCCGCAGATGATGGAGACAGTGACAGCCCCCAAGAACCGCCATCAGTATTCTCTGAATCTTGAACGTTGAGGTTGTTGAGTGACATCTATATCCCTATGAGAACTCTGCTTTTTCTTGTTACCTAATGAAAACACATACTTAAGATTTGAGATTTTCATCCAATATTATCCAAGACCAGTTAAAACTTAAGGCAGTGCTATGGTATTCCGTAAAGCAGGAATGAAATGCAGCAGGTTCCACTTTCTTTCCTTGTTTTCCTTTGGACTAAGCGCGTTCAGTAGGTAATACTCCTACCGATATGATGTTGAATTGAACATTACTGCTTTAGTTCTCATCTTACAGATGCTTTTAACTATTGCATATCTATCCGTTTTCCCTTGGAGGCAAGAATCAAGATAGAGAAATTTTTCCTCACTTCAACTGGAACAAGTCATAACTAATAAGAACTCTAATTATTTCAAAGCAAATACAATGTTGGAATTATTTAAAAGAATTAATTCATGCATATTTACTTCACCGACTTCAGATTTACGTCAGTTTCTTATGTCTCAAACTCTCAATGAATATGGTTTCTATTTTACACATCACTTTCACTAACTCTCACTTAACACTGTTAGAGAAACAAAAAATAATGTTAATTTATTTTCTATTGAACATCTTTAAATATTTAATTCCTATCTCACTTTAGATTTATCGAATCAATAAGGCCATAAAATTTAAAAATCAGATGTTTTAGTTTACAGACATTTCTCAACAAGTAAGCAATTTAAAGGTTAATAATCACGTCCATCTTGAAAATGACCCACATCTTTTCTCCCAAGAAAGGGTAAAAAGAAAAAAAGAGCTTGAGTCAACATTTGGGGAAACAAAGAGCTGATACACCAAGTCTCATTCTGCGAAACTGAAGATCTCTTTCTCGAGTCGAAAGATTTTAAGATTTGCTGCAGCCCAAGAATTGATCCACAAGTTTTGCCAGAGAGTTGGCAAGGTTATCTGCTGCTTCTTGCGTGGATGCCTCTGCATATACTCGAACCACATCCTCAGTGCCAGATGGCCGCACAAAGCAACGTCCTTGGGGGTGCTTGGCTACATTGTCAGTGAATTGAAATTATTATAAACTCTAATCTTGGTAGCCAAAAGCCATTATAAAAATGGGTGAAATGGATAATATCATTCTAAATAAACTATAATTTCATTCAGACAAAAATACCCTAAATACTGAGCCTTGAATATACTTGACACACTACAAAAAATATTAAAGCCCACAGCACCATATGTTAATTTCTCTGGCTCATGCAGTTTTTCCTGATACCATTTTGGATATCTTCCAGTTGCTTGTTTGACCACCATCCACGTTTGTTCATACAATTAGACCTTTTCCAGGATGGATGATTACACTATTCTTGAGATTGTTTAACTTAAGCTAAGTATCTTATATCCATTCAGGTGGATACTCTTTACTGCGCAGTTCCTGTCGCTGTTAACCCCCCCCGGCCCAAAAAAAAGGGGGGGCCCCGGGGGGCGGGGGGCTCAGGCGCTCTTGTCAAGCCATTTGAATCATACACGCTTTAAATTTAAAGTCATGCACAAACAATCTCCTTATATGTCACAATTTGTAAACATTTATAAATGACTTAAGGTCCATTTTTGTCCCTGAACTATATTTTTAGAAGCGCCCAGTGTCCTATACTATTCAAATGGAGGATAAGATGATGTGGCATAAGGAGAGAGGGTGGGATGATGAGATGGAGGCCGGGGTTTGGGGGCTTGGATTTTTTCCCAGGGAAGAGGCAGAAGGAGTGAGGGGGATGAGTCTGAAGAAGAGAGATTTTTTTTTTTTTTTAAGAAAAATGACTCAGTTTGTCATGTGGACACTTGGAGGCTGGGTGATAGGTAGCTAAAACTATGCAAACTTCTGGGCGCCGTCTCACTTACCGTCCATCCACACCAATTTAATAGCAGGACACTGGGTGATTCAATTTTAAAAGTTTAAGGAGTTAATTGGACTAAAGAAAAGTATAAGACACTGGGTGCCCCTGAGGGTATAGTTTAGGGTAAAAATGGACTTTAACCCTTTATAAATTTGTGGCATAAGAAGCTCATGAACAGTATTGACTCATTTTTTGGGCTGAACGCTATGTCTTTCAACATTGCAGTCATTTATCATTACAACTTCACTTTCCCTTGCATTTGCAAGGGGTCGCTTCTAGGTTCTAGCAAGTAAAATAATGAACTAACAACTAAGTGAACAGTGATTATCTGCCAAAAGTAAAAAATTGAACGGGTTCATCGTTTAGCCTATATGTTTTTTTTGCCCTCCCACAAGCACCAAGCTTCTATGAAAAATGTCATTCTAAGACTTTAAAGTCAATAATGACGCTAAGAATGAGCAACAAAACTGTGCTTAAGCACCAGAAATTGGTGGGTGTGATACCATGAACAGCTAAGAAAATTGTTAGAACTCACGAGTTTCAAACAAAAAGTTGGGTGGAAAAAGTAAAAATGGTAGAACAAGTTACCAGTTTCTGCATAAATGGCTTCTTGTAGGCCAGGGGGACTCGCAACCACAGTTTCTGAATTAGCTGTAATCACAGCAGTTCTATCAGCAACTTTGACCTGGAAAACGGAAATTAAGAAAAATTCTAAGTGACATAACATACTATAATTCAAAGAATCATTTTATCATAGAAAGAGACCACAGGAACATATAATTAAGATCCAGCCGTAGCTTCTGATCACCAAAAAAAAAAAAAAAGAATTATAGTTGCCTTAAGTTGCCTGCTAGGCAAGTCATGATAAAGCTCATTCCATCCATGTATTGACCATCCCATGTGCTGTAATATGACTTCCACCAAAAGCAATCCACTCAAAGCATCTCCTACAGCTTGGTTGATCAACTCACTGACTGCCAGTAGCCTTAAAGAAGCTTTTTCTATTTCTGAACCTAGAGGAAACAACAAACAGCTATTTTATGGTTCATCAATTTATGCTTACAATGATTATAGAAAACTTAAAATACACTAAATAAACCTTTAGATTTTGATGAAAGCTCTTTAGTTTTTGCCTCCAACCACCCCTTAAGATCTTCTGAAAATAAGATGGTTCCATGGCCATTTGCCTCAAAATAGATACCGATATCAAATTCAGCAGCTTTTTCATGCAAGTATTTGACTCCAGTTGGGGTAAAATTGACCTCAAGTCCCAGCTGTTTAAGGTAATTTGTTGATGCTCCGTTTGCATAAGCTGTCTGTACAACACCAAGATGGGCATGGCGACTGTTCTTCACATCTTCTTCCTCACTGAGAATGCTAAGTTGCTCCCTGATAAATAAGGCAAAAAGAGATAGTATCTTATCCCCATCAATAAGTTCAATCTTACTGTTGCTTTCTGGTGCAACAGAAAAATAAACAAGCCTATCAGCGTCTCCATCCAAACTAGCACACCTGCAAAAGTAAAACCACCCTGTGAAATAGTACCATAGCAAATGTCACCAAGATAGCGTCTCTTTGAAAAGTTTACAGAATAAATCAAGGATATGACCAAGTTCTCTATTAGTCTATACATCTTCCAACCCGTCCCCCCTACGGCCTTTTTCCTCTCCCCCTCTCCATCCATGATTAAATTAAAACAGTAATCCATGGCTTGCAACCCAGAATGCTGCCCTCAATTGTGTTAGCAGTAATCAATTTTCAGATGAAATCTTTAGGTTGAATGGTCATTTCAACTTGGAATTACTGTGCTAATCAAGCAACTTCATCAAAATAGTGAAAAAACTAACCTTATCCCAACGTCTTCAGAACCAAATCCATTAGGAACAACCTTCTCTTTCTGCACAAAATCAGCACCAACTCCTTCATTCAGTACACCTCCATCTTCACCAAAATTACGGATCTCAATGGACACACCATTCAACTGTTTCTGTAAAACTTCGAGTTTTACTCCCCCAACACCATTAGCACCATCCACAACCAACTTGTCATTTGACCCCTTCCGGTTGCTTTTTTCGCTTGGGATCAAATCCATTAAGCACCTGATCCAATCAAATAATAATCCTAAACGGAAATGCTCAGTCAAATTTGGAACCAATTAAAAGAAGGGATGAAAAAGGAGTTGCATCGAACTATACTAATGATCAGGGATTAACCTGAAAGAGCTTGAAAGCTGTTCAAAATAATCCTTTTCCGAGGCTTTCATGCCCTTATTTCTAGCACGAACCATCCAATGTAATTGCGGAGTTGTCAAAATTCCCATGTCAGTTGCAACGGCACCAAGAATTGAAGCAATTCCCTTCATTTTTATCCAATCATACATTATTTAAATAGGCAGGAAAAATGTTTAAAAAAGCTTCTATAAGATTCATAGTTGGATATGGATTTATACTTCTGTGGCAGCTTTAAGCAATGCGCCTCCGCTTGGTCTTGTGTCTCTCCCTAGAATTACTTCAGCTGGTCTGCCTCCATTGAATTGAATGTCTTCCTTCTTAACAAAATCGTTTATCAGCTGTCGATATTACAGAACCATATAATTAATACAACGCCGATGGTAAACCCTCTAATCAATCCATAAGTGTTTCATGGAATTCAAGTTTCAGTGTAGTTTTATTGAATGATTTCAATTTTTGAAATATTTGACTCTTCAAGCCTGGCAAAAGAATGCCGCGAGGAACGAAATACAAGTCAAACAACCATGTATATGAAAACTGAAAAGAGAGAGGGAAATAAGTTGCCCCAACCTGGATAAGATCTTGAGGAGAAGGGGCATTGGCGAGAGCATCAGCAAAGGGCTCCCAATGCTGAGAGAGCATTCCTCCATTCGGATCAGCAATTTTGACGCCGTTATCGGAGATTTTGTTATGCGAGGCCGTGATCATCAAGCCGATCACCGCCTGGGTCTTCAGCGACCTCAGAGCTGCAAGAATACCTACCCGGTACACCGCCGATGATAGAAGTGATGCATCGGCTCTGAATCCAGCCGTTCCATATGATAGCTTTACTCCTAGCGACAACGAAGCATCCAAACACAAGGTAAATACTTCATAGGAGAGGAGACTGAGAGGAAGAAAAATGCGAACCTTGAGGGGGCAAGAAGTGAGAGGATGAGCTGAGAATGAGAGCCTTTTGCTCCTCGTTCATGGCGTGAGGGACCAAGGATTTGTACAAAAGAGATGGTCCGATTGCTCAATCCTTCTGGCTCAGCGTTGCGCCTGCGCACTGAGGTGACGCCACGGCCATTTTGTTGTCATAACTACTCCCCTGTTTTTATTTATAAAAAAATATTTTTTACTTATTTTTTATATAAAAAATCATATTTTTTAATAAATATTTATTATAAAACTTTTAAATTATCTTCCATAATTTTATTATTCATAATCATAAAAATTAATTAATAAAGATTTAATTGATATAATTAATAAAAATATTATAGTTTAATTTTTTTTATTTACTGATTTGATTAATATGATTGATTAATTTTTTTAGATTGTATGATATAATTTTTTTTTTTTTTGGATGAGAGTTTTAATGTGTAGGATCCACAATGAACTTATATATTTGAGAAAGCACTATGAAGTGACACAAAATTTCATTACCATCAGTAGGTGTTGGATTTGGTAAATTCGGAAATCTTAAATCTTACATTTTAAATTTATCTATTTAAAATTTTTTATTTAGATAATTTAAATAATAAAGATGATGATGATGATTATGTTGATAAAAAATATTATTATTATTATTATTATTATTATTAGGTAATATTTGGAGTGTGGATGGAGATTTGAAATAACAAGTGTTTTAAAAAATTAAATTATAAAGAAATTAAGATAAAATTTAAATTTAAATTTGGCTACAAATTTTTAAATTCCCAAGAAAGGGACACGGCCAAAATTTAAATCTAAAACCATCTATATTCAAAAATAGCATAGAGTACCAAATTCTAAATCCCAATACAATTATAAAATTTCTTTACATTATTTAAAAAAAAAATACAATTCATCCACCATCTTTACGGGAGCTCTGGCCACCGTGACAAGCATGTCTATTCACCATGGTCAAGAGTGACTTACTGCTAGTGATCACAAAATGTGATGGTTTTTAAACAAGACTCGGAAAATTCATGTTTAATTTCACAAACTTTAAAAAATTATGAATAAAACTCCATTAAAAAAAACTCAAAACATCTAGCTTTTAGTGTAGAAAGCATCAACACAAAATTTCATCATTTTCTCTGTTAAATCCATCAGTTTCCAAAATAACTAAAACAAGTCCAAAATGTGGTAATCCAAGAGAGTCCGAACCCATCCACTCCTTGGTGTTGGTCCATTAGACATGTTTTTAGCCACCTATTAAACTCAAAAACAAATCTTAATGACATGGGGAGTTACAGTATACCACATGCTTTATCCATCATAAGAACAATGGTGAAGCTCAAGACATTCATTTTTTGATTAGAGATTGTTTGAAATCCAAGAGCTATAGTTATGGATTCAAACCTTTCCAATCCCATTGAGTTGCTATGGATTACAACCTATCATTCCACCTAGATTGTGGTGATGCTGGGGAAGCCAGATCTATCAGGTTGTGTTATCCTGCGAGTTGTCAAGTGAATGAAGTTGTTAACTACATCGTTAAAGAGGCTTTTTCTTTTTTTTTTCTTTTCTTTTCTTTTCTTTTTTATCCCCTTTTCGTGACAAATTTTGATGTTATTGTTACTCGTAGGCAATTTTATTGCACTCTGCTTGAAGATCTGAATTAGCCTTCTTAGCTATACATAGATAATAGTTTATGCTAGCAAAGTATAATAAGAATTGTTATTAATTTTATATTTATATTACATCAATCTTTCTTTTCATACTGTAAAATCCATCCGGATTACCATAGACCTACACTTGTTTTAATAGTAAATTTTCACTTTTGCCCTTTCATTTTTATTTTTCATTTTCCACACAGTGTCCTCCCCAGCTACCAGCCCCTCACCCTTTCTCATCTCGCCTGCCGTGCTTCTTTCCCTCCTTTTGTTATTTCTTCTTTTGATGATCTAAATTCTATCCTCTTCTTTGCTTTTATCTTAAATTATTTTTCTTCTTTTCTTCTTCATCTTTTCCCTCCAATTTCAATTTCCAATTCTCTTTCTCATTCTTTTTCTCCCACCTTGGATTTCTCCCATGGCACTGGCACCTCTAAATTTGATGATGAGGACTATTTTAGCAGGCGAACAGGGGCAGAAGCTCTCTTCCTCATTCTTTTTCTTCGTCCTTTGATTTCTCCCATGCCGTTGACATGTCTAAGTTTGATGATGAGGGTAATCTTAGTAGGCGAACAAGGGAGAGGGCGACATCGCTGGAGCAGTGGATAGTGAAGGGGGAGATGAGGCTCAGGGATATTGGGATTAAAAAGTTCCTTCAAACCATCAAGATTCTCCTTTCCATTTCATCGATCATCAATCAAATAACTTTGCTTTAAACATTGCCATTCAATATGAGTTTAAGTTTCTAATATGCTCCCATTTCGTTTCAGATTTTCTCTTCATTCCCTTGGAAACATTGCCAATCAAAGTGAGTTTAGGTTTTTAATGTGCTCCCATTTCGTTTCAGATTTTCTCTTCTTTCCCTTTGAATTTAATTTTTTTTTGTCCTATTGTTTGTCAGATTATATTTACTTTTATTGATTTTTAACTTCGTACTTTTCTGTGTTTTCTCCTCAAAAAAGTTACAAGGCAACTAATTGAACCGCATGATGATTCAAGATCTATTAATGCTAACATGCCATATTGGAAAATGTGATAAACACTCCTCAGCCTTGATAGTTTCTTTCATCCCTTTGAAGGATTTAAGGTCATGGGCATTGATATAGATTGAGTAATATATTTTTTATTCTCTTTTATAGTGTCTTACATGACATCAATGCCACAAGAGTATTGCAGTGAAGGAAAACCTTTAAAAAGCATAAGAATTTGAGTTGAGGTGAGTTATTAAAAACCAATCACTTTTAGCATTCTAAAATGCCTGTGCTGCAGCTTGTTACGCATATAACATGTCAAAATTTTGTTCATAGTAAACACTCTTTAAGCATGTGTTGTGTATAGTAAGATAAGGCTACTCGTGTTTTACTTCTTTAAATAACACATTAGAAAATTTTTCAAGGGGGCACAAATGCACATGTTATAGTAAATATAAAAGGAATTTTAGCTTAAATAATTTTTCACCATTAATCAAGTAACTTAAATAGGATTGGAGAGTGTGTTGTTAGAGTTTTTATTTCTTGTTGTTGTAATGAATTATCATGCTTGATATTATTTAAAGGAAAACTTAATTATTACATTGTGAGTATTAGAAACATGACTCCTATAGATTATTGTGCAAGTAAATGATACTAAAGTTGTCAAGGTTAGAAACATTTATCAATAGTTGCTTAAAGACAAGCTGTAAGCATCAGTATGATATGTGTGCTGATTTTTTTTAATTTTTTTAATTGCATTATTATTCTTAAGCTTTTTATATATGTGGTTTTCTGTGAACTAATATTCTAGACATATTGAAAGTTATTTGTTATTGTGGTTAAGAGTCGTAGGTATCACCGTCATAAAAAAAAATACAAAAACTTTTTATAGCATTCAGCTTGTTAGCTTAGTTTTATTCTTATCCCTTTATGTAGCTTATGGTTTTATCTTTGTTGGTTCTTTGTTACATGGTAACTAGCAAGATTGAATATGAGAGAAGAGCCCAAAAGTGCCCCATATGATGTGGTAAACAGCAAAAATTAAGGAAATGATTTGTTACTTCTTTATTCTTTGTTCCATCTCGAGCACCCAGCAATAGGCCACGATAGGAATGTGCCAATTAACTCTGCGTAGTCAAAGCTAATGTGTGAAACTTTAGCCTTATTGAGAAGCTTCTCCAAGACATGGATGAACCCACTCCATTATTTGGCTATGCATTTTTTTAAATCTAATATGTTTTGCTGAACAAAGTTTGTGTAGTTTTATAAGTTCATGTTAATAGTAAATGTGGGGATAAATGGTAAAGGGAGTACTTTATTTCATGTATTCTTTTCAATTCTTTACTCCAAGATGGTATTTATAGTCCTATATTTTTCTCCTACTCTCACATAGGGAATCGCGATGCAAATCATAATATGGTTCCATGCATACTTATTCGAATGGGCATGCATATTCAAATTGTTCAATATTTCCAAGGTGAAGATTCCTCTAAAAATTGAAATCCTATAAATTCTACTCATTCTCTATTTTGCACCAGTTTCTCATACTTTTAGGTAGGCTTTTAATCAATGACAGTGTGTAAATTCTATCCAAAAATCCCAAACATGAGCAAGTTGAATAATTTTGATGATGTGTTATTAACTCATATTGATTTTGAGTTAACGATTGTGATGGTGTTATGGTATCATAGAGAACAACAAAAAAGTACATCTATAAGCACTAACATGAAATAAATTGAAAAACCTGGAAGTTCTCTGACTTTTAGAGCTGTTCTAAATTTTTCAAAATGTAGCTCACATGGCTTATTTACTTGATTGTCTGCAACTAATTTTGTATCCATTGCTTTTGTCCTTCCAAGTGGTTGGGCAATTATATTGCATAACATATATTGAAAATTTCGGCTCCATGTTGAGGTTATAGTTACCATTTAGATTGTGTTTAGTATCATAATTATTGAGGTTTACTTCAATGCTTGGTAGTTAGCAATCTTTACTTTCGCACTCCTAGGCGATTGGAAATAAGGAAGAGACATATCTAGATCTTCTACAAGCCGAGAACATCAAATGCATCCACCCACTCTATGTAAATATATATCCTTAATTTTCTAAGGATTGTGATAAACTTCCTTTATATGTTTTAGTATTATTTTGATATAAAGAAATTCTTTATGTATATGCTTCTAACATGGGTCATGCCATGCATTAAATGCAAGGTGTTAGACTATGCAAAGCTGGACTAAGTATTATTATCTACAGTAACTCTTTTAAATATTTATGTTTTTTTCTTTGTTGTCCTACAAGTCACCGTGTGTTTGAAAGTTACTTAATCTTATGGAGGGGAGGATATATTGTGTTTTAATGTTATCTGTACAAAAGTTCTGCTGTTGCCTATTGTAAATCAAGGAATGCATTAGGGGGTTACGAATTTTAATTAATATTTTTAACTTTTAATCTTGAAGTTTCTTTAATGTCAAATATGTGAAATGGACATGTCTTTTGTTACAGGATGCGATGTAGAAAAAAGAACACGTAGTTTTGGTTTATTTTCTACAATAATATTTGTTTATTTGCCCCTTATTTTATAGTTTTGATCTGTATTTATAGTTCAGGCCTCAATTAATTTGAGGTTTACTTCTCATGGCTTTTATATTCCTTTCATTTAAAGAAGGCGTAAATGCCTAATTTCTTTATATTCCCTTATATTTTTTATCCTCCAAATTTTTATTTATTGGAATTTGAGTTAAACTTGCCACTTTTTTATTTTCATTTACTTTGCTTGTGCATCAGTGTATAGTTTTTTTCCCCTTTACCGTAAATCAATGTATAGTTCATGCACTATATCCTGAAAATGTACTACTGCATATTAGTTTTTTGTTTGTTATTTTTAATTAATACTTTCTGAATATGTTTTGAATTTTGATTATTCTTGTGTCTTCTCCAAGTGATATTATTTATCTTGTATTTGGCATTATCTTAGTGTATGTGTTTTGATTAATTTTTATAATATAAAATTTGAAATGTAAGATTTTCATGTAATTTTCTCCTATATTCTTCTTTCAATGTCGCTACTTGCTTTCACAGGTGTTTCGTGAATGTTTAAGCAGGTTGGATCAAACAATCAGTTTGCATTAATCACAATGCCAAGGATAACAATCGTGTAATAGCAACCTCCGAATCATGCTATACATTTGATGGTATAAAAGAATTAGTGCTTTGTTACGAGTTAAGCAATATGTGTGCGTGTGTATTTGTGCTTCCGGTGGCAAGGGGACAGAAATTTTGATCTTTGTTGTGTTGTTATGTATGACAAAATTTTGAACATCGTTGGAGGAGTTTTGAATTGGAAATTGGAAGGTAACATTCTCATGCTTATCCAAAATATGGTGCTACTATAGTAAAATGTATTTCACCATGTTTTATCAGTTTTTTGCAATTGTTTTATAATCAATGTACAAGAAAAGATATGTTTCAAAATGCATATATTTGAGATTTTAAAAAATAAATAGCAACGAATGAATTTTAGGTGGGAAATGAACTTTTCTTTGAAGGGTTGTGTTCAATGTTTTTTTTTTTTTTTTTTTGGGTGGGGGAAGTACTCTCATGTTGGAAAATTGTAAGGAGTTTTGAAATATAAATATTATTGGATGAATCTACGAAGCAAAACATTTTTTTTTGTTGGAAATGATAAATGGGTTTTTTTTTGGGCCAAAGATAAATAGGTTTATTGTTGACTCAACTGTAATTACATTAAATTCTTCCTAAATTTTATATTGATTACAAAGTTTTAAAAAAATGATACTAAAATCAATTCGGCCACACCTCAATATACCCATTCACATGGGCCCATGTAAATTTTTATCTCTTGCTCCATTTCTGTCTATTTCTAATTTGTATTGGATGGGCTAGCGCCTTGTGATGCAAATTGTAATAATCTTTTGTTATTTTTTAATTAACATTGTCTTGATCATTTTAATTTCTGAAAAAATAGGATTAAAATTACATTTTAAATTATTTTTTTATAATTTAAATTTTTTAAAATTTATCCTTCTATTTTTAAATTGTATGATATTATGTAAACATTTTTTTATCTATTGTATTATAGAATTAGCTATCTCATAAAAAAGATAAAATTAACTATCAATTTTTATTTTGAATTAGAGGGGGCGAGTATTAATAGTTTGAGATTACAGATAAAATCAAATTTGTAATCTCACACTAGAGAGCTTCTACCGAACCACGAGACATTTAACAATCATCAATATCAATATCAATTTATTTTTTTTTAAATGATTTATAAACACCATATAAGACAAATTGCTTAAAGAAACTCTAAAACAAAATGTCTTGAAATTTTAATTTGCATAGATCTAATATATAGACTAAGTAAATTATTGTATATATTTTGGTATACCTAATAACAGATTAAAAGTTGTTTATATTTTTGTAAACATGTTTTTGTTTATTTCTGCCTTCTAAAAACTAAAAAAACTTTCTATATCATGCAAAAAAAAATTATTGGAATCATTAAAAAATTAAAATATATGGTTACTTTACATTGTCTTTATTTAAAAAAGAATTAATTAAAAATCTAACCTCCTCGCTTTTCCCTCCATTTTTTTCTAATAGAGTGAGTTAATTAATACTCCTATGCATCGTAAGGGGACAAAATCATACAGTGTCTTATTAGTTCATATAGCATAACCAACTCTCAAAATATGACTAGGAACTATTATCCATGTATTTACGCGTGCCCTCCTTGTCTTTTTTCTAGATAACTGAGGAAACTTAGCTGGCAACACGTGTCAGCTAAGAAAATTGTTCATAATTAACTTGCAAGAATAAAAAAAATTAGTTATATTATTGAAATTATCTAAAAACTGTTTTGTTTTTTTTAACTCCTGATAAATATTATAAATTTTTAAAAAGCAAGCATTTTTTATCTCCCCATTGAAAACCAACAAGACGAGCATATTTGGAAAAAGTAATTAATACTGCATAAGTTCTTCTATAGTAGTTTATATTTTATATTTAAATTAAAGAATTTTTTTTAAAATATCCTATAATAAGAATTAAACAAGCACTCTACCCTTTAAAAATATAAAATATTTTTAATTAAATTTTATTTTTTAATAAAATAATTATTTTCTGAAGTGATTGAACCGTATTTCATATTTAAAAGTAATCTATTATCTAGTTTGTTTGAATAACATTTTAAAGGGATTATAAAAAAAAAAAAAACACTATCAAATTCAAATGTGCCTCTCACATGTGAAACAAAGGCTTTTTAAGGCAAAAAATTCCTTGGAACTCACAACTAGATATCTTTGAGTGCTTGACGGGACGGCTTCGATGATGGCAGGGCAAACGACTCTCCTCCACGTAAGGAATGGTGGAGAAATTGCACTCAAAAAGTATATTTTGTTTCATCACGAGGGCATTTTTGTCCACACGTCTTTCGTTTTTCAAATCCCTCAAGGACCTTTCTTCTCTTTGGCCTGCGTGCTGGTTTGCAGTTTCTTTTTCTTCCCTGCCTGCCCTCGATTGTCATATTAAAATATTGATATTATCATAATAAAATAGCACGATATACGAGTATATTCCTTTTCCGGCGAATCCGACATATTATCCCTTGGATGTTCCGTTTCCCACGTAAAAACAGAGACCAACTCTTTGAACGGCCAGAAGACCACAATCATCCAATGCAACTATGAAAGGTCGTCTTTTTTCTCGAATTTAATTCGAATCAAATTTCGATGCTCCTTCCCGTTTTCTCAGTAAGAATATTGATGACTACGAGGTGAAAGGCCCGGATTTCAGTTTGATCTCAGGTTCCTCTTCGCACTCCTCATACAGTTTTTCCGATTCCGTCTTCTCTAAGTTTCTCGAACACGGAATTCGTTTGCTATCTTAATCTCTTTTTCATTTTGTTTCTTTTGCTCTGATTTAAAGAGGTCGGATTTGACCGTAGTTTTTCGTGATTTTCTTTTCGCTAATTCACTTCATGTTTAAACTGAAATGACTTCTCCATGAAATGAACTGTCTATTACGGTGGCTATCTGGGTTCTCTGAACACAATGATATCGCGAATTCTTTTCTTTTTCTTTATTGTTCTGTTCATTCTGTCCGATTAAAATTCATTAATGTCGCTGTATGAACAATGCGAAGAAAATCGTCTTTTGTTTCCAGAACGTTTTCCTATGCTTTAAATAGTGCCAATACTAGTTTACGTCGTTCAGTCAGGGACGATAGTAACTAATACTCAAAATCTAAATGCTTTAGACTTAGAGAGTTACCTTCACTTGTTACGATTGACGGAGTTCTGGTGATCACAATATTGCCGTAGGTGTGGGGGAGTAAAAATACGAGTTCATTGATGGGTTCTAAGAACAAGTCATCATCGGGCCACCGAAGAAGTTGTTCTATATTTTATGTGATTGGTCTTTGCGGTTTATTTTATCTTTTTGGGGCATGGCAAAAGGGTGGTTCTGGAAAGGGAGATACAATCGCCATGAATGTAAATAGGCTTACGGATTGCGAAATTTTGCCCGATTTGAGATACGAATCTCACCGCAATGATAAAGAAATTTCTGAACCAGAAGCAAAAGTGTTCGAGCCTTGCGATTTCCGATACACTGATTATACACCTTGTCATGAACAAGACAGAGCAATGAGATATCCCACAGAGAATACGATACACAGGGAAAGACATTGTCCATCTCGAGAAGAGAAACTTAATTGCCTAATTCCAGCCCCAAAAGGGTACATGTCCCCTTTTCCTTGGCCTAAAAGCCGTGATATAGTGTACTACGCCAATGTTCCTCACAAGAGTCTCAGAGAAGAAAAGGCCACCCAAAATTGGGTACAATTTCAGGGAAATTTGCTGAGATTTCCAGGTCGAGGTACCATGTTTCCTCAAGGAGTAGATGCATATATTCATGAACTTGCATCAGTCATCCCAATTGACAATGGATCTATCAGAACAGCACTTGACACTGGCTGTGGGGTATGTCGCTTCCTAAAACATATCTCTTGAGATTGTGCGTGTGTGTGTGTGTGTGTGTGTGTGTGTGTTTCAAGCTTGAGTTATTTGACTAGTTTTTAAAGCTGTTTTACAAAAATTAGTTTCACCTATATTGATAGCATTTTTAGCATCAAGATAACGCATGGTTTACTATGCAAATAGCATTTAATAATAAGCATTTAATAGCAAGTTACCAATTTCACCATATGTTTGTTACCTTGTAAATTGAAGAGGACGTGTATGAACGTTAACGCAGGTAGCAAACTGGGGAGCGTACATGATGAAGAGAAATGTGATGACTATGTCATTTGGACCGAAGGACAATCAAGAAGTACAAGTTCAGCTTGCTCTGGAACGAGGTGTACCTGCTGTTGTTGGTGTTCTTGGCACCATCCACCTCCCCTACCCTTCAAGAGCCTTTGATATGGCCCACTGTTCAAGATGCCAAATACCATGGACTTCAAAAGGTTAGTTCTAAATTTGACTTCAAGCAACTTGTTTTTATCAACATAGAGAAAGAGTTTCTGGAGGAACTGATATGGCGGTGTCTTCAATTCCAGGTGGCATGTATCTAATGGAAGTTGATAGAGTTATCAGGCCTGGTGGATACTGGATTCTTTCTGGTCCTCCTATTAACTGGAAAGCACACCACTCCTCATGGAAGCAATCTAAGGAAGATCTGGAGGCAGAGCAGGAAAAAATTGAGCTTTTAGCTGAGAGTCTTTGTTGGGAAAAGAAGTTTGAAAAGGGAGATATTGCTATCTGGAGGAAGAAAGTAAATCCAGAATCCTGCCAAAGTCGGTTTGCCAATTTATGTAATAACACAGATAATACAGATGATGTTTGGTTAGTCCTCTTCATTTAATACTGTTTCATGCTTCCAAACATTTAGATTGCACACTGAATAACAGGTCCTATGTTAGATAATCTGGCTCTTATTATTGTTACTACTGGATGTGCATAATAGGTATAAGACAATGGGGGTATGTAAAACCCCTTTTCCTGAGGCAACCAGAGAAAGTGAAGTTAATGGAGGGGAATTGAAGGAGTTTCCTGCGAGGCTTTTTGCAGTACCTCCTAGAATATCAAAGGGTTTAGTTCAAGGCTTGACAGCTGAATCTTACCAACAGGACAACAAACTATGGAGAAAGCATGTCAATACTTACAAAAGAATCAATAAATTGATTGGCACTAACAGATACAGGAATGTGATGGACATGAACGCAGGCCTTGGAGGGTTTGCAGCTGCACTTGAATCACCAAACTCCTGGGTGATGAATGTTGTTCCCACTGTTGCTAAGAACACTCTAGGTGTTATCTATGAGAGAGGTCTGATTGGAATTTATCACGACTGGTGCGTCACAAGTCTGGTTTTCGTAATGTCATAAATGTCCATTAATCTCAGCAGGAGCTTTCATTTCTGAAATTTTAGTGCCATGAAACTGCAATGACATTGTTTTTATTTGTTCAGGTGCGAACGATTTTCTACATACCCTAGGACATATGATCTTATTCATGCACACGGTTTGTTTAGCTTTTACCAAGATAAGTGCAGTATGGAAGACATCCTTCTGGAGATGGATCGGATCCTTCGACCCGAAGGGGCTGTGATAATCAGAGACCAAGTTGAGGTAGTGGACAAGGTTAGGAAAATAGTGAGAGGAATGAGATGGGAGGCCGAAGTGGTGGATCATGAGGATGGCCCAATGGTGCCCGACAAGATTTTGATTGTAGTGAAACAGTACTGGGTGGGCAGCACTGGGAACTCCACGGCCAGTGGGGAATGAATGACACAGATATTGTTTGGGCTTGGCCCCTACGATAAAGAAAATAAAAGCAGTGTTATTCAAAAAATAAAAGAAAAGAAAAGCAAAATTTCCAAGGCCAGAGGAAAACAGGAAACCATAAAGGAACAAAAGGGGGAATTATTATAGAAAAAGATAAGGTCGGGTTTGTGAAAATTATTGATAATGTTGCTTTATTGGGAAGGAAATTGCTCCTACCCCCGCCTTAAATTCTTTAGCTGACTCTAGAGGATTTAGTGTAGACTACTAAAGACTAGCTTTTGTAGTAACTTCACTCGCCAAGCGGCAACTCAATCCAATGAAACTTTTCTGCTTTATTTCAGAATGCTGGGAAGATTATTTTAAGAAAAATATAACTTTTAATCCATATATTTTGTTTATATTTTGTCATAGGTACTAATTTTTTTTTTCTTTTGTATTCTAAATTCTTATATTTTTATTATTCAGTGTTTTAAGTTTTTAAATAGAGTGTAGGGATTTTGGAATGACTTAAAACACTAATGAAAGTATATAGATTTAGAATATTGAAAAAAATATAAGGATTTATAGTAAAATACAAACAAAGTATAGGGATCAAAAATTATATTTTTTTTGTTATATTATATTTTTCCAATAATTTGCGTGGTGATTATTTATGTTTTGTATCCGAGAAAACTAGGTAAAAAGTGATGACAAGAGAGATTCAAATATCTCCAAAAGACAGGAAAAAAAAAATAATGGGAGGAAGAAAAAAGGTGAGCAACAATGGCGAGGTCCCTTCACCCCCTATCTCCCACCTAAATGGAAGTTGTTCAAAAACTAAGCCAGATCTCAACCTACTTTTTGTTTTTGGCAAGTTTGAAATTTTGAATTTTAGCAAACCCCATCTGCTTAGGGTGAGTTGAGGATTACGTGGGCTCAAATAAAAAAAATGTTATACCCACGAAACCCTGTAAAGAAAAACAAAACCTGAAATACAATCTAAAAAAAAATCAAAAACCCTAGCATACAACCCATGAAAAAAGAAAACGAAACAAAATAAAGAAAGAATAAACACTAAGAGAAATCCAAGAATTATTTTTTAAATAAATTATAAGAAATCCAGGAATTGATTTTTATAACCTTATAATATACATTTGGCAAAATCCTTCTTATCGGTATTATAACTTTATTCACTATACAATAATTCAATTTAATGAAGTTTTATACTTTATTCCAGAATTGTGTAAAAAAAGATGACAAGTATAGCTTTTTCCCCCACCAATAACAAGATAGGCTCAAGGAAAAACATAATCATTTATCCTTGAAATTTTATAGGATTTTGTTTTTAATCTCTATTATTTTTTTCATTATTTTCAGTCATTATAAGGATTTCAAATACTGAAACTATAAGGACTTGAAAAATAAATATTACCTAATTTTACTTAAATTATAAGGACTAAAAATATAAAAATATATAAAAATTAAAAATAAAACTTAATAAAATTATAGGGATTAGAGATTGTGTTTTCCCTTTATTGCAATAGGAAGAATCGCACATAAGGGTTGCTGGAAAGTGTTATTCGCAAACAAATATCAATAAAATATTAATTATTATTTAAATGACAACAGTGACTTTTTTTTTTTTGAATGATGACTTATTAGTGATCCGTGGTTGCTAATATCATATTTCTACGATCCTTGTGTGCCATTTTTTCATTAAAATATCTCTGAAAGAATAAAGATAAAAAGGTATAATAAAAATAATTAAATATTTTAGTTACTTTTGATTTTTATCATAATTTTTTTTATTTCAAATACCCTCAGTTTAAATTTGATAAAAAAATTAAGAAAAAACTTAGGGTGTGTTTGGGCAACCTAGTTTTGATTTTTGCAAAGTTCTTTCTCACATTTGGGATGTGAGATGTTGTTTGAACAAAAATAAGAAGATGAAAATTCATTCTAAAAGCGTTTTAAGAATGTTATTAAAAGTGAATTTCATAGACATAAAATTATGGAACTTTTGCAAAGTGAATTTAAAAATTAAAATGTTATTTAATTATGCTATTCTAAATTTAATCTCTCATTTTTTATTTAAAAATAGTTAATTCATTAAAACCATAATTATCATTTAAATAATAATAATTAGATATTAAGTTTTTAGCATTATAAATTACATAATTAATCATGTTAATTTTTAACATTAAAATGTGATAAACATTAGAAATCTTTATCACCTTTTTTAAAATTACAAATTAAAAGAGATAAAGGGGTAAAAATACCCATAAAGTTATCAATCAGGAACACCCAATATCATAAAGTGAGAAAAGGCATAAATACATAGAGCGTTACATAAGTGGGTACAAAAGTGACTAAATTATTAACTTTGACTTAACACCATTAACTTTGAAGTTAAACATTAACTATGCATGTCACATGTATTTGGATCAATAAAGGCATAAAAATACTCATAAAGTTATTGGGCAGGAGCAAAAATATTCATGATGTTATCAGAATAGGTGCAAACGTGATTAATCCATCAAATCTCTTAAGACAGTTTAGCTGATATTTGAGCAGAAGTTGATCATTTTTTCGCTGACATGAATAAAAAATATTCTTAGATAAAATTTTCCAAAAGTTAATCGACCATCGTATAAATATCATATGAAAAAATGTTATTTTGACCAAATATCGAATTAAATTGCTCGTTTCTTTGCAACAATGATAAAAACTATTTGAAAATTTTAAATCTATAGTGAATAAAATTGTTTATGGTTGTGATCATGTTCTTAAGGTAGGGTAACGTAGGAGATGTGTTCAGTTTTGATCTTCAATTATATATAACTTATCTCATTATGTTGAATCTCAGGTTTTACACACAAGAAAAATGAGTAGAGAAGGAGAGAAGGAGGGGGTAGAATACGTGGCGATAGAAAAAAATCACGTGACATAAATTTTAATAGATTGATTATTATTGTACCTATTAAAGTAGCATTATGGGTACTTATACAATTATCGATCAACCTTCATAAAAATTCATCTAGGAATTTTGTGTCTACATCAGCAAAAAAAATGATCAACTTCTACTTAATTGTTAGTTAAATGGTCAACATTTAAGATAATTTGTTGCATGAACTCTAATAACGTTATGAGTATTTTTGCTTTTGGTCAACGACTTCATAGGTATTTTTGCCTCTTTATTAATCCACATCAGTAAAAAAATAACACATGGCATGCACCGTCAACATTTAATAATCAAAGTTAATGATTTTAGATCAAAATTAATAATTTGATTTTTTTGCACCCACTCATACAATATTATAAGTATTTATGTCATTTTTCTCCTTTTAGGATATTGAATGCTCCTCGCTGATTACTTTATAGGTATTTTTATTCATTTATTCAATTTAAAAAGTACGGACAATTAGATATCAAGTTTTTAGCATTGTAGATCGAATTTTATATTATTTAAAATATTTATTAAATTTTTTAAATATATTACATCAACATAATAAAAATAATAAATTATCATAAATTAATTTTTTTATAATTTATGTTTAAAAACACATTTCACTATTATAATTCAAATAATATTCAGTTTACTAAACTAACTTTTAAAAAAAATATTCAGACATAAATTTTATTATAACACCTTACTTTTATTAAATAAAATTTTAATAAATAAATTTTTGATAAATTAAAGAACACGTTTTCTAGTTGATTGTTGTTTTAATAATGAATTTTGAACTTTAATAACAGCCGGCCCGTCTAGCTCAGTCGGTAGAGCGCAAGGCTCTTAACCTTGTGGTCGTGGGTTCGAACCCCACGGTGGGCGAAAAGAAATTTTTTGTTCACAAATATTTTCTTAACCCTTTCACTCGTGGGCGAGATTGATCCACGACAACGCTGTCCAAAATATGTGGCCATGAAGTGACCGTGCGTACAGCAACAGTGGTACGAGACTACTGGCCAAAGAAGTCCTTCATCATTTTCTAATTTTGAAAGGAAAGAGACACTGAATAGAGGTCTGGACCTCTGCAAGAGCATGGATCCCTTCCCTTGCATGGTGGCCAGATGCTAAAAAATGACACCCTCTGTGAAATTGACCAACCCAATGCTGAGACGGCCAATATTTGCTTCACCTTTATCTGCATCACGAGCACCAACCCCATTATTTATTGTTGTGGTTTTTAAGTTTTAGCTTTGTTTGAACCAGACAAAACCTCTAATGACTCACCAACCACATGCACTTGTACTGTCATTGGTTATGCCCAAGCATGCCTTAGTCATTCTTCCACACTGCATATATCAAATCCACATGTGATTCCTGAAATAAAGTGTAGCATTCAGTCTCAACCACCAACACCCACGAGGTAGCTAGGGAGCTACAATGCCAGAGATAGGCCAACCATGTCTTGTTTTGGGAGAGAAATTCAAAATTTCAAGCCCAGTTATTTTAACTGCCTGTTGTTCTTGCGATGTAGCTTTAAGGACTTCGTCTTTATAACATGAGGAAGTACTTTTTACATCAACGTTAAATAGAGATTAAAAAAAAATTGTAATGTATGATGAATATAGTATCTTATATAAAAAGGATCCTTTACAGGAGGGCGTATGGTATAGCATTTGAAGATTTTCCGCACCAGTCCGTGATCCACAGGAAGTTCCGTAAGCCTCTGTGCAGCCTCTAATTAAAGTCTAATATATCCAATAAATTCGTCAAGACAATCCTGAAAGGCTATCCTTTATCCATTTGACTGTTCCTTGTTTGAATGTTCTGATTTGATGTGTGTCCCTCTTATGCTTTGGATTTACTGGTTATATAACTGTGTTTCCCATCTCTTCCAAAACTAGATAGAGTAAAAAAAAAAAAATCTCCTTATTCTTTTTATAAATTATTATTTTTAACAACTTTATCAATATTAATATAAAAAAATTAAAGTATAAATATAAAATTTTAAATATATCTCTATTTAATAAATATAAAAATTTATATTATGTTATTTTTGCTCTTTCATGAAGGATAATTTTAAAAATATTTTTTAAATATTATTTAAAAAAATGCATCATAACTTATACTCTCTCCATTAAAAAATGTAAGATATTTTTTGAGAAATTAGATGTTTAAAAATGTAAGAAATTTTTAATTTTTCAAGATGTAATTATTGCCTTTTTTAAATGTCTCTATTGACAACAATTTTATATTTATTATAAAATATTTTATACGGGTAAATATGAAAAGATAGAGTTAAATAGAAAATAAATAATTACTGTATTAAAAATAAAATTTAGTTAAAAATAATTTATATTTTTAAATGAAAAGAGTAAATGAAATCAAATTAATTTTTAAAATGTGTATTATAAATTAAATCGGAGGGAATAACTCACAAAAGTTGCAGCTCTGTCA